GAACAGTCACTAAATGAACTGTTGTAAGTCAAGGACTACATAATTTTTACAGATGTTCCAGTAAATAATTTTGGCGACTGTGTTAGATTGTTGTTTACAATCAGTTTTGTGTCACCTTGCATAAACTCATATATGATCCATGTTTCTTCTGCTTCTTTACGCAATATATATTTTGAATCATTTGATAATTTTTCAATTCTGGCCTCAATTGCATTAATTCAAATAGTTTACTCTTGGGCAGCCAAAATCAAGCTTTCAGTTTCTTTAATGTTCCAGTTGTAAGCCATTGACAGGTTTTATCTTTATACACTTTCCCCTCAATTTTTTTGTAGTAATTGACCATGTAATGCTTTTCCTTGTCAGCATTCTGTTTGTGTTTTTATTACATTATTTTGATACTCATCTTCTGTTTTCTGTACATTCATTAAGAAACAGTTTTCATTTGAATCAATGCTTGTCTTTCATATAATCAGCCAAGGAACACTTATTATTAAGTTACCATCAAATATAAATGCCTTCATTTGAATCACATTCCAGACCTTTCAGCAAAATGGTGGTGGATAAATCATATTTTTCAGTGATAAAAGTATTGCAAGTTCATGCTAAGAATATTCCTGAAATAAAAATATAATTTTATGTGAAAATATGTAGAGTAGATGCAAAATAAAAGCATTACAAGTATTCCTCATTTAGCTACTACAATTGGGACCAGCAACCCAGTTTTTAAGCAAAATATTCAGGAGGTGCGGCTGCTCATGATCTTCTTTTGCTTTTTACAGACCTGCCAAGGTCTAAAATGCAAGAATGGTCGTAAAGTCACCCTTGTAATTGTGAACTGTCACTGTCTGAGGCAATCACTAAAGGAGGAATATATGTAGCTTGTGGTTCAGCCTGTGGTGTGAAAACAGCCACAGTGGGTTAGTTCAGGGCTTTTCAACCAGTGGTACGGGTACCACCTGTGGTACATTGGCACCTGGCAGGTGGTACGCAACCATCCTAGAAAAGTTGTAGCGGGGGAGGGGAATGAGCTGAACGGTGGCAGCACCGCACAAGCCTGAGCGAGAGATGGCTGGGGCTGCAGGGCTGTCAGGGCTCAGCAGAAGCGCCAGGATCAGCGTTTCTTCAGGACTGTCAGGGCTCAGCGGAAACGCCAGGATCAGCGCCAGGCTCCAGCTGGAGCTCGGGGCTGATCCTGGCGCTTCTGCTTAGCCCAGAAGAACCTCCGATCAGCTGGAATGTTGCAGCACCAGGGTTTTGTGATTTACATTCAGATGCTTGGCAACTGATTCATATTTATGACGGTCACAGTGTCCCAGGGTCATGTGAAATGACCAAAACCTGCTGCAACCACCCAGCAGACGGGGGGGGGGGATAAAAACCAAACACCCCCCACCCCCCACCCCTGTTGCCAATCCTCAACAGAAATGGTCACAACAATGAAAACCTCGGACAGGAGGAAGAGCGCGGCCGGGTGGGCAGGCAGGTATCTTGCTCGGCTGTGGCTTGGGGGGCACTTTTTTCAGTGCCATTGTAATTTCGAACAGTCACTAAGCGAACTGTTGTAAGTCGAGGACTACCTGTACTTATCACTTTTTTCCTTTTGAGGGGGGGTTATCAAGTTTTTGACACCTTGCTAGGTGACTGGTAGTACTCGGATGTTGCCATATCCTAAAAGTGGTACAGTGGATGAAAAGGTTGAAAAGCCCTGGGTTAGTTCATCCACACATTCCATTTGCTGCAGTGCAGATATGCCCCACTAACAATTTCTCATGGTTTTCTTCTCACAACTTGGTCTTTGTGTTGTCTTGTCAGCAGCACCCTTGAAGCAACAGAAGTCCATCTAATGCTTTCCACTATGAAACCAGCATTTAACCTATTTCATCAGAAAACCTTCCAGGGTACATTTTCAGAGAACTGGGCTGCAGTTGGGCTTGGCCAGACTGTTTTGGCCAAATCCCACCAACCCTCCTCTGACTGTGACTGCCAGAGAACCCAGACCCCTCCCTGATGCAGCCCATACTTTACTCTCTCTAGTTCAGATTTGGAAATACCGACCTTGTGAAATATGGGCTCTGCAGACTCACTTGATGGCCTCATACTCATACACCAGGAGTCTTCAAACCTGACCCTTTTATGACTTGTGGACTTCAACTCCCAGAACTCCTCAGCCAGGCACGCTGGCTGAGGAATTCTGGGAGTTGAAGTCCATAAGTCATAAAAGGGCCAAGTTTGAAGACCCCTGTCATACACCAATACTGGCTTGCACTGGGGCACCTGTTTTCTTCCAGGCAATGGTTTATAATAAAGTTTTAACCCCCAGCTAGGAGTGTGCTGTGTGAAACACGAGACTCCAAATTGTTCCTCCACTGGAAGAGTGAAATACAGAAGTTGAGCTGTGAACAAAATAGGATAAGGGATAGTAGGGGAAAAGCATAGAACACCTGGCTCACTCCAACCTTCCAGAATAATAAATAAGATGAGCAAGAGTTGATCAACTTGATCTGTATTTATTCAATTTTTATCTTGCTTTTATTAGTTTTTTTTATAAATAACTCAAGACAGCAAACTTATCCTATACTCCTTCATTCTTCTACTTTCCCCACAACAATAACCCTGTGAGGTGGGCTGGGATGAGAAAGAATAACTGATCCCAAAGTCACCCAGCTGGCTTCCATGCCTAAAACAGGACTAGAACTCACTGCCTCCTGGTTTCTAGCTGGTGGCTTAATTACAAGAGAAAACCGATTTTCCTTACTACAAAATTGTGGTTTGAAAGGGAAAGGTTTTTGAGGGAGAAATATGGGAGATGGAAGGGAAACAGGGCCCGTCTATGTAACAGAAGCTCAAGGGCATATAGATCACAGTGCTGGCTAGAGGAAAGAATAAAGGATTAGGAATTAAATATGTATTAGCGAATGTAAACTCAGCACGTTTGTTGAAAAATTATTACTGAATGTATGGGGGGAAAAGCCAATAAAAACTTTCACACAAAAAATCACAGTGCTGAAACTGACCACCTGCAAGCAGTCCATTTTTAATGCATCCAGCATATAAACCAGGGGTCTTCAAACTTGGCAACTTTAAGACTTGTGGACTTCAACTCCCAGAATTCCTCAACCAGCCCTGATATAAACATTGGGCAGAGCTTCAACTGCATGGTCGCAGACAGATATGATACTGTTGTCCCAGGAATGCTGGGGATTCTTAGACTGTTGTGCTCCACCCAATTGAGTTACCCCAGATGTAGAGATCTTTGCAAAGCTTTAGTCTACACCAGGGGTCCCCAACCTTTGGGCACCAGGGACCAGTTCTGTGGGGAAAGGTTTTTCCACAGACCTGAGGGTATGTGGTTTTGTGTGCTGCCAGCATCCCACAGATGGGGCTTTGCTTGTCTGTGTGGACCAGTTGCTGGCATGCCCCGGCCGGGTACTGGTCCACAGACCGGGGGTTGGGGATCCCTGGTCTACACAGAATACTTGATGCTTTGGAATAGATTCCCAATCAAGCATATTGTCCATTTCAAGGTGAGTTCCTATACAGTTCTTACAAACTGTCCCTTTAAAGCAGGGGTCCCCAATCTTGGCAACTTTAAGACTTGTGGACTTCAACTCCCAGAATTCCCCATGCTGGCTGGGGAATTCTGGGAGTTGAAGTCCACAAGTCTTAAAGTTGCCAAGCTTGGGGACTCCTGCTTTAAAAGAATAGTCATAAATCAGTCTTACCCCCCTCCCTTCTCACTATAGATAGGAATCTGCAATTAGCTTGTTTTCTGTTTACCTTTATCCCATGGAAATTGTCCCATTGTTGATAGTTTTCTCACTTTTCACATCCCGTTGGTTCAACACTTTCCACGCAGTTTTGTTTTCATATAGTTTTACTGCTTATCATATTTCATTAATATACCATTTGTCGTCGTTTCGAGATTGGTGTGCTCCTCTTCCCTCTCCGACAAGCTGGCTACATCAAGCCTGAGGAGGCACCCCGTTTTAAATAGAGCAAATAGGAGGCTATTTTATCAACGTTATGGAAACCTAAACCTACCCACCTTTTCCACGTAACCCCTGCCGGTTGTGCGAATCCTTTTGTTAGAAGTAAGTCTTCATCCTGGTTCATCCAAACCGGGAATAAATAAGCAACATGGCGACTGCTTTGGGAAGATGGTTACAGTTTATTGCAGAAGCAGAAAGATGGTTCTTCAGGAAAGAGCAGAGGAGAGAAGAAGGGCTGAGCACATGGGCAGTAGCTTTTTATACCCTCTCTAGCTTCTTGTTTGGAATAGTTTCCTCTTCCTGTGGCATGAACTTTGAACTGAGTCTGAGTGCTTTTCTAAGCCTTAGTATCTGTGGTTCAGTCCTATTATGTCCCAAAAGTCATCTCCTGCTTCCCTGGGGATGGGGCTAATGACTCTTAAGAGTTTGTCTTCTTGAGTTTCCTGGCTCCAACCTTCCTGATGGTTTTACATTTGCATTTGTATAGGGCTGGCTCCTGCTTGGGGCAAAAGGATGAGGCCAGGGTTGGTTTTTGGTTTTAAAAAATCCTTTTGAGGAAAAATATATATTTTTTCTGCCCTTTTAATATTTCCTTCTCTGGGCTAACTTCCCTCAATTTCAATAGATCAGTGGGAGAGCTATAAAAAAAAAAACCTCTTCGCAAGCGTCGAGGTGCCCCCTCCCTTCCCAAAGAAAATCATCCGACAAAACGCCTCCAGCCCCGGGTAAGCCGGTTCCCAGCCTCTCTCTCTCACCTCGGACCGCGCAAACCTTGGCAGCGACTCTGCAAAGCCTCCTCCGCTTTCTAGCTTGCGGGGAAGGGCTTGCCCTTCTTTCTTTCCCTCCTGCACGTTTTCCAGTTCCTATCCACTCGCCCCCCACGTCCCCTTCGGGACGCGCCGAAAGCAGCCCCGCTGCAACCCAGAGGCGGCCCTTCCAGAGGCGGCCCTCCAGCCGCAGAAACCCGGAGGGCCACGGCGGCTTGTCGGCTCGCCTTTCATCTGGGTGCGGATGACGCCGCACCGGCAGCCCCGGCGAGGCGCTTTGCGGGGCTGCCGGCCGCCGTCTCGCCCAGCGCGGCTGCGCGCTTTCCCCGGCGCCCCGCCCCTTTTCCTCCGCAGCGCCGGCGGGGCGGAGCTCTTTCCTTTCACGCCGGCCTCGGCCTCGAGTAGCCGCTTCTGCCATCACCTCTGCGGGGAAAAGACGCAGGAAATGCCCGCGGCCCCCCGCTTCGAGTCCCAGAGCGAGGACGACATGGAGCCCGAGACCCCCACGGAGCCCGAGGCAGCCCCGCACAGCGGCCGCCCCAAAAAGAGCAAGGTAGGCGCCCAGGCCGGCGGGCCAGCCAGCCTCGTGGCGGCAGCGGCTGCAGCAGCGGCCGGGGAAGGAGGGGCCGAAGGCGGGGCAGCGGACCAGGAAACGACGCGGCTGCGCCGGGAGCCGAGCGGCCTGCTCGCTGCGTGTCGGCCTGGCCCGGCTCCGGAAGCGGGGGGGGGATCGGGGCTGGGGGGGGCGGCGGCGGGTGCTTTCTGGTCGGAGGGCTTGCGTCTTTCGTCCCCTGCCTTGGGCTTTCTTCCTGTACAACAGGGGTAGTCAACCTTGGCTCTTTTATGACTCGTGGACTTCAACTCCCAGAATTCCTGAGCCAGCTAAGCTGGCTCAGGAATTCTGGGAGTTGAAGTCCACGAGTCATAAAAGAGCCAAGGTTGACTACCCCTGCTGTACAACAAAGGATTCTTCCCCCACCTCCAGTGGCGGATGTACCAAGACGAGGGGCTCGTGTTTTGCTCTCGTTTCTTTCCCACAAAAAAGGTTTTCTGAGCCAGGTTTCACGTGCCGTCTGCGCGCAGATCTAACAAGCTTGTTTATTTCCTTCGTCCTTGTTCTAAAAGTACGAACACGTGGAGGAGGAGCGGAAAGGCCGGAACGCATCACTCCGCTTTCTTAAAACGCTAACCCAGGGGGTCTTCAAACTCGTCCCTTTTATTGACTCGTGGACTTCAACTCCCAGAATCCCTCAGCCAGCGTGCCTGGCTGAGGAATTCTGGGAGTTGAAGTCCACGAGTCATAAAAAGGGCCGAGTTTGAAGACCCCTGATTTAAATGCTAATTTCACCCGACTTTGTAGTGGCCAACTTGTCAAACTGACAGACTTAAGAGAGCTTAGAATTTCAAGGTTTATGTAGATCAGCACGTAAAATAAATAGTATGCATGGCAATAAATGCATTAAATACAATCATTTTATGTATAAACTAAGGTATTTGTAATGAAAACCTTTTTTTTGGTTATAGAAAACGAAGAGTTAGTAAAAGGCCCTGTACAATATCCTGTACATTTCCATTTCTATATATTTCTACTTTTTTTCTGAATATTTTCAGCATTTCTAAACATTTTACATCTGGCTAATTTTTTCCTCTCTGTATAAAGTTTCCTGTCTTGAGAATTGCATCCATATTTTGGGTGTCTGTTAGGGGATTGATTCCAAGAATTGGAATCAAAATACATCTGGAAGGCCATTTGAGTAAAAGGAATATCTGGGTGAAGGAAATATAATTGTCTCATTTAAATATATAGCACTGTGATAATTTATTGTTTTAAACTTTTAATATCCATCTTTGAGAATATATTTTAATGCTTTAATTGTCAGACTTGGTTGCTTAAAAATAGTAACATATTCCTGAAACATTGATTATTGTTGGTTTTGGCAATGAACAAAAGAATAATTTGAAGAAATCACTCCTTTTGTTTCCTATATTTTTAATAATTCTATTGCAGTTTTTAAAAAGAAATAGAGAAAACAATGTACATAAGCCAATTAAAATAACCTTTTAAAATTTAAAACATTTTTCTTTGAATGTCTTATTTTTTTAATTTGTGCTTCTTCTGTTTTTACTGTAAGGTGCACAGATTGGTGTTGAGTTGGGCAGCCTTGTATATTTTTAAATTAAATAACATAAAATTAGTTATTAAGTTATAGTAACAAGTGAAATAAAAAGAAAAAAAATGAAATCCCAAAAATGAACATAATAAATTGATAAACATCACTTAGATGCATTGCATATTTCACTATATTGAAATATGCATTAAAACCGTTCTTGTAAAATGCTGTATTATGAAAACTATGCCAAATGGAAAAATGTGATTTGTTTAATTAGTAGAAGTATAGCTGTTCTAAAACCTGATGGGTTATGCATTTTTTAAATCTCGTCTTTCATGTCTAGGGCAATAGTACATTTTGTGGATGGACCATTAATTACCATTTAATGCACAGAGCAGGCAGTTCTGGATAATCTGGACATAGAGCAGATACAAACGGATTTGGTCTAGGTATGAATTTAAAGCACCCGTGTCCCAAGCAGATGTGTGTCAGGGTAGGATTTGGGGGACCCGGGCAGTGGCCATTGGAGCAGCAGAGATGAGGGAAAAGAAGATGGGAGAGGAAGGGTGAGCTGTGTATACCATGCTTGGATTCAGCCATGGTGGTTGACTGCTAAAGGAAAGGCAAGGGTTGCAGGTTGCCTGGGCCAGTTAGATGTGCCATACTTGAATTCAGGTTTACTGCGAACGGTGTAATAAAAAAAAGGATCTGAGGAGCATAAAAGTAAGAGAGGGCTGGGAAAGTCAGAACATAGGCCACAAAAAGGAAGAGATGTGCAAGTCATGCCCTGCTCAGTGCCCTAAGACAGGACTTTTCAACCTTTTCACCCATTGTACCACTTTTAGGATATGGCAACATCCGAGTACCACCAGTTGCCTAGCAAGGTGTCAAAAACTTGACCAAAAAAAGGGGAAAAAGTGATAAAGTACGGGTAGTCCTCGACTTACAACAGTTTGTTTAGTGACTGTTCGAAGTTACAATGGCACTGAAAAAGTGCCCCCCAAGCCACACCCGAGCAAGACACCTGCCTGCCCGCCCGGCGGTGCTCTTTCTCCTGTCCGAGGTTTTCATTGTTGTGAGCATTTCTGCTGAGGATTGGCAGCGGGGGTGGGATGGGGGGATGTTTGGTTTTTATTCCCCCCATCTGCTGGGTGGTTGCAGCAGGTTTTTGGTCACTTCACATGACCCTGGGACACTGTGACCGTCATAAATATGAATCAGTTGCCAAGCATCTGAATGTAAATCACAAGACCCTGGAGATGCTGCAACATTCCAGCTGATCGGCGCTTCTTCTGGGCTCAGCAGAAGCACCAGGATCAGCGCCGAGCTCCAGCTGGAGCCTGGCGCTGATCTTGGCGCTTCCGTTGAGCCCTGACAGCCCCAAAGAAACGCCGATCAGCTGGAAAGTGGCACTGATCCTGGCGCTTCCACTGAGCCCTGACAGCCCTGCAGCTCCAGCCGTCTCTCGCTCAGGCTTGTGCGGTGCTGCCACCGGTTCAGCTCATTCCCCTCCCCCACTACCACTTTTCTAGGATGGTCCCGTACCACCTGCCAGGTGCCAATGTAGCACATGTACCCGTACCACTGGTTGAAAAGCCCTGCCCTAAGATCCTTACAGGTTTTGTCTTAGTCAAAACCCAGAACCACCATCTTTGAGTCTAGCTAGTGTGTAATTCAATTTGTAGTGTTTGTTTCAGATCCCAAACAAAACACATTTTCCATTTTATGCATCCTGTCTACCCTAATAATGTAGCAACATGTTTGTTGCAGCGATTTCCGATCTGCTTAGTTTCTTCTGTATAAAATTATATTCCTAACGTTGTAATAAATATTTGGAAAGTGATTTGTGGGGGGTTTGAAGAAAGTATGTCTAATAATTTGAATATTTTTCTTTAATGTTCTTGCTTTACAGAAGAATAAAAAAGATAAATCAGAAAAGAAGAAACTGAAAAAGCATACATTAGTTGAGACTGAATTATTGGATTTGGACTTGGAGCCACCAAAACCAAAGAAAATGAAAAAAAAGAAAGAAATAGCTGATAAAAATGAAGATGCAATTGCAAAATGCAATTCAATATTTTACATGAGTAATGGGGTAAAGCACTCAAAAAAGGAGAATAATTCTAGTGAAGATTCACATACAGAATGTGAAAGTGATCAAGAGCAGGTAAGATTATTTATTCTCTGTACTAAATATCCTTTATTTAGAATGTTAATACTATGAAGAAGAACAGAAATTTTACAGCTATGTCAGGGCAAAATGTAATCCTGGTGACTCATTACTGTAATCTTTATGTGCATTTCTATTTGAATATTTTTGAGATTATAAAAACATGATTTTATAGACTGGGGGTTTGAATAAATTAGCATAGAATCAGGCTGCATATCTCATTCTCTGATTTCAAATATAGTATGTTAATATTGCGACATAGAGCCACTTTCTTACGATGTTTACTAATATATAGGTAGTCCTTGTTTTAGTGACTGATTATGACAAATGATGAAAAAGTAACTTTGTGACCAATCCTTTGATAATGACCTTTACAGGTCTGTAAAGCAAAGAAAAGCTGAAGTAAGATCATCAGTACAGTTATGGTTTCACTTAGTGACTGCTTCACCTAATGACCAAGTAGCCATTACTTGTTCCCAGTGGTCTCTAAATGAAGACTGACTACACTGCAACAAGACATATTTATTGCCGTGCATCTCATTGAAATGTGACTTTTCTTGGGTGGTTATACAATAAAAACATAAAAAATAATTACAAAAATACTCTAAAATTAAAACATAAATAATATTAAATAAAAAAACAGGCTAGGGAGAGAATAGATGTTATATGTAATCTAACCACCTCATTAAATCTTCTGTGAGACCCCCTAAGCCGGTTGACATAACCATTTTTTAAGGGAGGGGTCCAATCTCATCTCAGGGTGGGAATGATGTTCCACAGAGTGGGTACCATGGCAGAAAAGACCCATCTCCTGGATTTTGCCAAACATAGTTGCTTAGGACAGGGGTCCCCAACCCCCGGTCCGTGGACCAGTACCGGGCAGCAGCATGCCAGCAACCGGGCCACACAAATAAGGAAAGCCCCATCTACAGGATGCAGGCAGCACACAAAACCACACCCCCTCCGGTCCGCGGAAGAACCTCTCTCCACGTAACCGGTCCCTAGTGCCCAAAAGGTTGGGGACCTGTGGCTTAGGAGACAGGGCCTGGAGTATGCATCTCCTGATGGACCGGATGTTATGGGAGATATAGTTGGAAAGATGCAATTCCTTAGATAACCTGCCCTGTGCCATGAAGGGTTTTAAAGGCCAGAAGCAGCACTTTCAATTGGACCCAGAAGCAGACTGGCAGCCAGTGCAGCTTGCAGAGCAGAAGTGTGTGCCTTTCTGGGAGCACACACAACTGCCTGCACCGCTGCATTTTGTACCAGCTGAAGCCTCTGCAGGCTCATCAAAGGCAGCCCCAGGCAGAGCACATTACAGTAGTTCGCCCTGGAGGGGATCAGGGCATGAGTGACGGTGAGCAGAGCCCCTTGATCCAGCAACTCCGTACATGGTTAAGGAACTGCGAATCTTCAATACTAAGCTCAGTAGACCAGTGATGCAACTTAACAGGCAGGTTCAGATGTTTGTTAAACATAGGCAGTAATCAAATCCTAAAGCTATGAAATAATAGATCTCTGTATATTAATACCTGAAAACAACCTTTTAGAATTAGCAGTGTTCCTTTGTCATATTCTATATGGTGCATGCTACCAGGCAGAACATATCACGATACAATTATTAGTATTTAATAATAATAATAATAATAATAATAATAATAATAATAATAATAATAATAATAATAATAATAATAATAANGTTAAACTAGACATACCCAATTCCAGCAACCATTCCTTATATGTTTTAGCCTCCAGTCCCCTAATCATCTTTGTTGCTCTTCTCTGTACTCTTTCTAGAGTCTCAGCATCTTTTTTACATCGTGGTGACCAAAACTGGATGCAGTATTCCAAGTGTGGCCTTACTAAGGCATTGTAAAGTGGTATTAACACTTCACATGATCTTGATTCTATCCCTCTGTTAATGCAGCCCAGCACTGTGTTGGCTTTTTTGGCAGCTGCAGCACACTGCTGGCTCATATTTAAGTGATTGTTCACTACGACTCCGAGATCCCTCTTCCTACTCTTTGTATTTCTGATGTTTATCTTTGGTGCATTTTGTATTTAACATTGTTAGCATGTCTTGTGTTATTTATTTACACACACACATGCATGCATACATGCATTATTACTCTGTAAAGAAATTATAACAATAGTTGCATTTAATTTTTCCCCCCTGGGAATATTTGAAAGTGTGGGTATTGAGTGCTGTAAATGCTTTTTTCTTTCAGTTCTTTAAATACTTTTTGGGAATTAAAATCTTATACTTTCTGTAACTGCCTTTTATTTTTGTTTAAAACAAAAATTAACAGGAATTAACAGCAGAACAAAAGGAAGGTGCTTTTGCCAATTTTGATATCTCTAAAGCAACTGTTGATCTTCTGAAAGGTATACCCATTGAATGTTTTCAACCGAAGCAAATTTACACTTATTTTCTAAATCTGGTAGCCTGATAATCTCTGCACTAGAGCAGGGGTCCCCAACCCCCGGTCCATGGACCTGTACCGGGCCACAGCATGCCAGCAACCGGGCCTCACAAACCAGCAAAGCCCCATCCGTGGGATGCAGGCAGCACACAAAACCATGTGCTCTCTCCATGGAACCAGTCCCTGGTGCCCAAAAGGTTGGGGACCTCTGCACTAGAGGATTTGATGTTAGCAGATGAGAATCAGTATAATTGAAATATTCCTAACTTCATTGATGAGTTACTGTCTGAAAAAGATCTGCATAGATCTTTAGTTTTCAGCTAACTATGTTAGTCATTCTTTTCTTTTGGAAGTAAGGGGTCAAATTTTGGCTTATTCTGAGGTGACTATGATTCTTATAGATCCTGTAAAGGCATGAATACATTTCATCTTCTTTGGAAAAGCTCAGAGATAAAAGTTGGGGAATAGTACATTTGGTGGCACATACAACATTTCAGTTAGATATGCAAACTATATATAGCTTGGTTAAAAATGAGAGATTATAATTTCCTGTTGCAAACACCAAATCTTTTTACAATTGATACCTTGCATATTTCTGTAGGGAGATTGTCTCCAGAATTTTTTTTAAAATCATTCTAGAGTTCAAGATCATTCTCAGTCTCAGCAACTTTAAGATATGTGGACTTCAATTTTATGTTGGCTGGAAGTTGAAATCCGCACATGCTAAAGTTGTTGAGCTTGAGAAACACTGTTCTAGGAAGAAAAAGAAGATTTGAATCATAGATCTGGCAGATGATGTTGCTTTTAGATAGAATGCTGGACTTGGATGTACTCCATGTGACTGGGTGTAGTAATTTGTAAAGTATTTAATAAAAATGACTCTAGCATAGTCTCTATAGTGTATTTTCTTTTTTTTTTTAAGTTTTGTTACAGAAAAATTAAGGACCGATCATGATAAGCATATATTTTTGTAGAGAAAATCTAATCGTATTCTTCCATAGCTCGTGGCGTCACCTACTTGTTTCCAGTACAAGTGAAGACTTTCATGCCGATACTTGAAGGCAAAGATGTAATCGCCCAAGCTCGGACAGGAACAGGGAAAACATTCTCCTTTGCTATTCCATTGATTGAAAAACTTGATAGAGATCCACAAGAAAGAAAAAGAGGCCGTTCCCCAAAGGTAATGAAGTCACGATAAAATTACAACCTGGAGTAGGGGGACAAAAATACATTGATCACTCATATAATTATACATGAAAAGCACATAGTGATGCTGCTCTCCTCATGTAGGCTGCAGATCTATTTGCCTTACATCTTTATTACTTTTGGTGGAAAGGGGGGGGAAACGATTCAACTTTCTCTTAGTGCTGTCTAACTGTACCACATTCCACAAATAATTGTTTATTTATTATTAGGTACTAGTTCTGACTCCAACCAGAGAATTGGCAATGCAGGTTGCCAGAGACTTCAAAGATATTACAAAGAAACTTACTGTGGCTTGTTTTTATGGAGGAACGGCGTATAATGGACAATGTAAGAAAGTACAAGTTGTCTTTTAAAAATACCTTTTTAAAAACTATTATTTAAAAAAAAAAAAGCATTATAATATTGGTCCATAAAACTTTAAAAAAGTATTGTAATGCATCATGTTCATTTGTTGGATTCAGAAATGTGAAGAAATTGTAATGTTATTTTAATGTGCTATTAAAAAGTATCAAAAAGTTAAAAAAAATCAGTTTAATCTTCTGCATACTTGAAGGAACATTTTAGTGAGATGCTCTAGGTCAGGGGTCTTCAAACTTGGCCCTTTTATGACTTGTGGACTTCAGCTCCCAGAATTCGTCAGCCAGCGTGCCTGGCTGAGGAATTCTGGGAGTTGAAGTCCACAAGTCATAAAAAGGCCAAGTTTGAAGACCCCTGCTCTAGATACTTTAGAGTGGTGCTTAATTTAAAGTAAATGCTCATTGTAGCTTTAGATTCTTATATTTGTAAAATTATTTAGAATATGTATTAAACATACGAAGACGAAAATTGTTGGAACTTGTTTGGAGAGTAATATAGTTCAAAGTCATAAATAAGTAATGCTGACAGATTTCAGAACAGTGGCCTTATAATAATTCTTAGAGTTAAACATTAAGTTTAATATATAAAATGTTAAAATTCCTTCCAGTGGATTTAATTAGAAATGGCATTGACATCCTGGTTGGGACTCCCGGTCGAATAAAAGATCACCTCCAAAATAATAAATTGGACTTTTCTAAATTGAGACATGTTGTCTTGGATGAAGTTGATCAGATGTTGGATATGGGATTTGCTGAACAAGTAGAAGAAATCTTAGTGAATTCTTATAAGAAAGGTAAGTATATTGTCTATGTATCTGTTCCATTTTGGCATCTTCTGTTCCTGGGTTTTAATGCTCAGAGAATATGTAAGGGATTAAGTGCACGTCTAGGAAAACGAGTTGGTCCATTCAATCACTGATTCGATGTCAAATTTAACTTCTTGCGTTAAATGTAATTTGGGGCCAATTGTAATAAATAATAAGGCCTGAATATAAAGAAATGGAATGTAGTTAAAAACCTGTATCAGAATATCTGGCTTTGTAACGAAGAGCAGTGAGAACATGAAAAACTACTACATGGGATACAGGTTATCAAAAGGCAAAATTGGGAGTAGAATTAAAATCACTAAGCGATGTGTTTGGAAAATGCTTAATGACAGCTGTTCTAGTGATTCCTAATTGGCAGTCTTTAAGACAGTGGTTCTCAACCTTTTTAATGCCGCGACCCCCAACCGGTCGTAAGTCGAGGACTAAACCGGTTGTAAGTCGAGGACTAAACCGGTCGTAAGTCGAGGACTTTCCCTGCCCGGGAGCGCCGCGCATGCGTGGTTCCGCCCCCTGCGCCGGCCGAGGTGTAGCTGGCAAGCGGCAGAGACGGAGCAGGCCGACCACCAGCTGGCTCAGCTCAAGGGAGGTAAGGCACCCGCCGGAAAAGGGGAAAAAAATGGCGGACAGCCTTGCTTGGTGACCCCCGTGAAATGGTCGATCGACCCCAAATGGGGTCGTGACCCATAGGTTGAGAACCGCTGCTTTAAGAGACTCCCATGTCATTCTTAGGCAAGGACATCATGTCATCATTTGCGACCCTACTGGTTCTCCACTGACTGCTTGTAGGAAGCTGGCAAAAAATGTCACAAATAGTGACCAGTGCAACAGCGACACTGCAACAAGCCAGAATCTTTGAGGACTGTTCATAAGTACCACTTATTCAGAGGCAATTGCAAGTTTGAATGAGTGGCTGTTAAGCAAGGACCACCTGTATACTAAAAGCATTATAATTGCTTCCCTTACTTCTTGCTGGCCCAACCAAAAATACTTTGAAAATATTTGGCAATAATGACAGCACACAAATAATCAGTTTGCGCTTTATTCTGAGATGAGTTCTTTTGTTGATTATATTTTACATAGCAGTGATTAGAGATGTACAAAACACTGAATTCAAATCCTTGGATGCCCCTTTGCTCATTTGGGGAATGTTTGAAACCTGAAGTCTGTTTAGTTTTTCAAATGGCATGAAGCAAACTGAAAGCAGGGCATTCAGATTTAAAAAAAATGTTGTATATTTCTAGATATTATCATATAAATGTTTATTGCTTTGCTCTTTTATGAGCATGCGTATGATTTTCTAAAAGTCTGTAAGATATGTGTTATTTGTTTGTTTAAGATTCTGAAGATAATCCACAGACACTCTTGTTTTCTGCAACGTGCCCTCAGTGGGTTTACAATGTAGCAAAGAAATATATGAAATCCAAATATGAGCAATTTGATCTAATTGGAAAGAAGACTAAAAAAACTGCAACAACTGTAGAGGTAAATTAACATTTTATAACCGCATAAGACTAACACTGTTACTATATCTGAATGGAAATCATAAACATGAATGCGTACACACCCCTCTCAAAGGGTGTCTGCAGGACCTAGTAGAAAATGTTGAGATGTGCAATTGGAATTTCACAATTTTTATGTGTGTCATCCCCATCCATTTCTCTTTGTTAATTGCTAATGAATATGGCTTTGCATTGACAGCATTTGGCCATTGAATGTCATTGGTCCCAAAGAGCTGCAGTGATTGGAGATGTCATTCAAGTCTACAGCGGGAGTCATGGACGAACCATAATATTTTGTGAAACAAAAAAAGAAGCAACTGAACTGGCCCTTAATGCCTCAATAAAACAGGTAGAGTGACACAAAAGTATGGAAAAAAAGAAAAGAATAGAACACCAGAGAGCGTTTAACAACTTATTCAGATATGAGAATATTCATTAATTTTGTTTCAAAATACTTTCAAATTCACAAACTGGTTGATCCTCTCTTTTTCTTTTTTAAGCTCTTATTATAAGATTACTTGTGATCCATAACTGCAATACCTCTTGATCCCTCAAAAATTTCTGAACACAAATTTTCCTTGTTTATCTGACATTCTTCACTTTTCTGCTGTTCAGTGAGACTTTATGTCTTCCGTGCTTGATTTCTCCCCCTTGAAGCTTTTATCTTTTTTCCAAAGGATAGCTTTAATATCAATCCCAATTTCCATTTATATATAGTTTTTGTTCAGTTTGTGACCTAATATATTTGAATATAAAACCTGATGTATAGAGTTCAAGTAAAATGAGGCGTGTGACAGATTTCCATATTGTATTGATTTCCCCTTTATTTTAATATACCTCAGTTCTTTAATAATGTGTCTAACCATTTGTCTCTGATTTTCCAAATGCCCCAAGTGTTTTTGGGGGGAATTTCACCAAGTGGATGTCCAGCTGTTCTATGGTATTCTGGGATGGCAGACATAGACATTGGAGTAAAAGTCTTTGCACACATTTGAGAGATAAGGGGTCAGGATTAAGGAAAGAGGCAGACTTGACAGCCAGGAATTGGGTCCAGATTGGCAGCAGTAGATGAGCGATGGAGTAGATGAGGCATAAGCAGGTACCATTCAAAAGGAGACCAAGACAAGGGGAAAGGAAGCTTTGCTCTGGAATGAATAACTTCCTGGAGATTAGTTGAAAGAAAATATGGACACTTCTGGTGAGCCTTTTCTAATTCTAAGATGTGGTCTTATGATGTTATCTGCAATGTTCTTGTCTTGAGGCAGTTTAATCTTCAAAATATTTGGAGTACCTCTAATATAGTCTGTCAAGCAGAGATTTTGACATTTCAGTTGAACTGGGGGGAATCAATCCTGTTATTTGGACAATTCTCTTGATCTCTTTCTTTTTTTTTAATGTATGCAGGACGCACAATCTTTACATGGTGATATTCCACAAAAACAGAGAGAGGTCACTTTGAAAGGCTTTCGTAATGGAGCGTTTGAAGTACTGGTTGCAACTAATGTGGCTGCCCGTGGCTTAGATATTCCAGAAGTTGATCTGGTAATACAGGGTTCCCCACCGAAGGTAAAACAAAAAACAAAAAACTGGTTTTGGGCAGAGGGGAAAGTTTTTTATACCAAAAGGTGCTTCTTAATGTTGCTTAGTTAAAGTGACATATTTGAGTTGCTTTACTTTTTCTACTGGAAAATGTGGCACAGTTGAAGTGAGAAAGTTGCAAAATTATTTTTATTTCTTCAAAAATTGAACTTTATTCTGTCTCTTAGACTGCTAGCTAAAATTTGCTATCTTGTCTATCAGGATATTGGGGTCTGAGGGCGGGCCAGTTTCCAAATGTTTTACAAGGATTCCATTATTGTCATTAAAGCAGCTATTACTCCAGGCATATCCATGAATATAATTCTTCAGGAATTCTACCGATAATAGTGTAAATTTATTCAAACATCATCTTACTATTCAAGTGATTTCTAAGTAAGATTGTTTTTTAATCTATTCAAACATTCTTAAAATTTGTTGAACTCTCACTATAAACGTCACACAACGGCAATATAAATAATTTCCTGTTGAGGCAATTCATGGTTTACAAAGATAGCTTCGTTTCATCTTTCTGCTCTCATTAATGCTGTATTTTAAAGAGTATAATATTCTTTATACTAGCTGTACCCGGCCATGTGTTGCTGTGGGTCAGTCTGGTTAAATGGAAAAGAAAGAAAAAAGAAAGCACACATTTCTAATATGTTTAATTTCACAATGCTTGTGGGTATACAATATTTTTGTTGTTCCATTGTCTGTGCATCCATTCCAACGCAATGTCACATGAAATAATTAAATCAAAATGAAAATAAATCGAAATCTATGAAAATTCAATTTAACAATGCAATCGGAAACATTGAAATGGAATCGTAAAATTGGAAATTTGGAAATCGTAAATGGATCGTAAATCGGAAACATTGAAATGGAATCGTAAAATCGTAGCATGTGTTGCTTTTACGTCCAACAGATGGCACTGTTTTTCAAAAAAAGCATGTTTTTACCTGTCACAGGTGTGACATCTATATAATAGTAGATATATAAAACACGCGCGTATTGGAATGCAACGTTGTGTCAAAATTTCAAAGCAATCGGTGAAGAACTTTTCGGAGATTTAAGATTTTGAACAAACATTTACATTTTTATTTATATAATAGATTTGTAAGTAAAGTGTTGGTTTTTCCCGCAACATGTATATCATATGAATGTTTCTTTATAAAGGATGTGGAGTCTTATATTCATCGCTCTGGACGCACAGGCAGAGCTGGACGGACTGGGCTCTGTATTTGTTTCTACCAGCGCAGGGAAGATTATCAGCTGAAACAAGTAGAACAAAAAGCGGTAATTATTTCGGAATTTCTTAATGGAAGTTATGACATCTGTGTTGTAATTTTTTTAAAAAGGCGTACAAGTTTTTTAACTGTTTTGACTAAAATGTTTAGGACTAGTTTTGTGTCCAGATTTTGTCAGTGAAACAGCGTGCCTTCTATTTTCAGGGCATTACATTTAAACGTGTAGGTGTTCCTACAGCAACAGACATAATTAAAGCTTCCAGTAAAGATGCAATCAGGTATGTTAATCCTAAATATTAAGTAAAAGTTAGTATCTGAAGGGAGATAAGCAGCTTTATGACAGAAGCCCCACTCCTTTTTTTTTTCATCTGTGCTATATGGATGTTGCTACCACCGTACATTAGTTTCTGTTTGAACATTTCATTAAGTACGAATGGTTCGTTCTTCATTTTAGTGGTTTTGTAAATACCGATTCTTAAAAATTTTCATTCAGATCGTTGGATTCTGTTCCTCCATCTGCCATTGACTACTTCAGACAATCTGCTGAACAGCTGATAGAAGAAAAAGGGGCCGTGGAAGCTCTGGCTGCAGCCCTGGCTCATATCTCAGGAGCTACATCCATTGAACAGCGCTCTTTGCTCAACTCTGATGTGGTAATAAATACACGGAGTTTCATAGTTACTTACCCACATCCTGATTTTCCTAATGCAATATCTAACCTGAGGAATCATTTAAAATTTATGCATTGTATATATGTTTTCAAAGAGGCCTTTACAGGCACAGTTGATAATCACAATTAAGAAAATATAAACCTTTGCTCCTTTGGCAGTGATTTCCCCACTGGTGCTTTTGAATATCTAAGTCAGCGGTTCTCAACCTATGGGTCGCGACCCCATTTGGGGTCGATCGACCATTTCACGGGTCGCCAAGCAAGGCTGTCCGCCATTTTTTTCCCCTTTTCCGGCGGGCACCTTACCTCCCTTGGGCTGGGCCAGCTGGTGGTCGGCCTGCTCCGTCTCTGCCGCTTGCCAGCTACGCCTCGGCCGGCGCAGGGGGCGGAACCACGCATGCGTGGCGCTCCCGGGCAGGGAAAGTCCTCGACTTACGACCGGTTGAGTAGTCCTCGACTTACGACCGGTTTAGTCCTCGACTTACGACTGGTTTAGTCCTTGACTTATGACCGGTTGGGGGTCGCGGCATTAAAAAGGTTGAGAACCACTGATCTAGGTCAAGGGTAGGCAACCTTGGTTCTTTTATGACTCGTGGACTTCAACTCCCACAATTCCTAAGCCAGCATGGCTCAGCATGGAAACCTCTCCCTTTCCCCTCAGCATGGCTGGCTCAGGAATTCTGGGAGTTGAAGTCCACGAGTCATAAAAGAGCCAAGGTTGCCTACCCCTGATCTAGATCAATACCAACACTTTTCAGGATTTGACTCGCCAGTCTTCCTGGATATAGAAGCTTAGTCAGTACATGGTTAGGTACCGTGGAGAGTAAGGAAGATGACTTTGATGGCAATTGGCAGGATGCTACCAGGACATGGATTATTCTAAACTATCCAAGTACAACTGTAGCTAGTAAATTGGTGTAAAGTAGTAAAAAGCATGATGTCTCCAAAGTTCAGTAAATAATTCCTGAAATTATTTAATTATTTTCTACAGTGAAGACATTTAGATACATTTAGTCACTACAGGGTAAGAAATTCAAATTTCAGCTTAGCTCTCATGTAAAATTGACTTAGTAAAGTAAGATAGTTAATCAGTTATTAATGATACTTTAAAAACTTTTAAAAACTACAAGGAATGTGCCAAAACAACCAAATGGCAATATAGTCAGTTAAAGCTTCATATGTTTCCTGTTTGGTCCAAATGCCTTCCTTGCCTCTAAAACCTGTGATTTTGAATGTATTTTAAAGAGTTTTTAAGAAATTATAAAAATATGAATATTGTATAAGAAATCTACAATTAAGAACTGGGGTTTCCTGTATTACAAATCAATGGTTTCAGTCTCAAGAAGTATTAAATGTGTTTCATGAAGTAAAAGCCAGTGTAAATTAAAAGTAGTTGACTGTTATCCTTACGCTGTTTTTTTTTTTATTGAAAATTTTATAAAATTTTACAATATAAATCCCCCCTCCCCCCAAACCCAACCCTCCATCCCTCCCCCCCCTCACTTCCCAGAGCCAATCACAGGATTAACAATAAAATAATCATAATCTAACTAACATTAATCAACTATTAATCTAACAAATCTATAACTTCCTTTAACTCTCTTTTAAAACAAATATACAATTATTAAATACCATAATATTAACATAATTTTAAATATTAAAAATCAGAAGTTTATTCAAAAACCAGATGATATTTTTTTGTTCCATATTTCAACTCAATATAATCAATCCATCTTCTCCAAACCAATATATATCTTTCTTGTGAGTAATCCTTCACATAAGCAGAAATCTTGGCCATTTCAGCTAAGTTTGAGACTTTAACTACCCAATCTTCTATAGTAGGTAAACCTTTCATTTTCCAATATTGAGCAATTAATAATCTTGCAGCCGTTAATGATTTGAGTTGCCAACTTTGTCCAAACGGACGAAGTAATTCTTTATAAGAAACTTTATCCAAATTGACTCCCCTAGATATCCCTTCTATTATCTGTGCTGGAACTGCCCATATGGGAATTTTATAATTTAATTTATAATAATATTTCTTCCAAACTCGTAATAAAGCACTCCTTAAAACATGAGCCTTGAAATTTGAATCCACCTTTTTATCATATATTAAATATGCCTGCCAGCCAAATAACAAATCCCATCCTTCAAGAGAAAGTATATTCTTATTTGTTAAATTTAACCAATCACTAATCCATGTGTTATCCTTACGCTGTTGATGAAGTAGATTCAGAGATACATTAGTACATTAGACATGTCCAAACGTGTAATAATATACATGTATAATTGGACAGCCATTTGACTGGGATGGTATAATGTTTTCTGTCTTGAGCAGGGGGTTGGACTAGAAGACCTCCAAGGTACCTTCCAGCCTTATGTGTCTATGTTCTATATATTTTCCTTTTTGTTGATTATTATGTTGCTCACTGGCCTGCTGTTATCCCATTTTTCAGCGGGTCACCCGCTGCTTGGCTGAAAAAATTGTTTAGAAGATCTCTCAACATTCTTTGATCAATAATAGTTTTAGTAATTTTTGTGTTTGTGTATGCACTAATAATTGTACTCTTCATCATAAATGTGTATCACTGATTTTTTTTTTTTAACAAAGGGTTATGTGACCATGATACTTCAGTGCTCGGTAGAAATGCATGCCACTGGTTACGCTTGGAGGGGCCTGAAAGAACAATTAGGCGAGGACATTGACAACAAAATATCCAGAATGTGTTTTCTCAAAGGAAAAATGGTAAGAAACTTTTTTCCCCTGCTTATACGGGTTATAGGTATTACTTAACAATTTTCTTCTAGTAACTGTTTTCTTTCCTGCCTAATCTTGTAATGAGTGAAACTTAAGTCAGATTACAGTGTTGATAAGGTATTGGGGAAGATTTATATAGCTAGATAATTTTACCCAGAAGACCCAAAGGTGCTTTTTTCACAAGGCAACTGGACTTGGTTTTTTTTGAAGACAGTTTGCTTCTCATCCAAGAAGCTTCTGACTGGATAGTGGGGAATGGCAGGATTTATACTCCTTGCAGACAGCTGGTCATTTGCATTCTGCCATTCCCCACCATTCAGTCAGAGCTGAAGAAGCTTCTTGGATGAGAAGCGAAACGTCTGGCTCCCTCGGATAGGGTACGCAATCTGGGTGTCCTCCTGGATCCACGGCTGACACTGGATGACCAGTTGGCGGCCGTGACCAGGGGGGCGTTCTATCAGGTTCGCCTGATTTACCAGTTACGACCTTTTCTGGACCGGGACGCCCTGCGCACAGTCACTCATGCCCTCGTCACCTCCCGCCTGGACTACTGCAATGCTCTCTACATGGGGCTCCCCTTGAGGAGCACCCGGAGGCTCCAGCTAGTCCAAAATGCGGCCGCGCGGGCGGTGTTGGGAGCGACGACACCGCTGCTGCGCGAGCTGCATTGGCTGCCGGTGGCCTTCCGGGTGCGCTTCAAGGTGCTGACCATCATCTTTAAAGCGCTCCATGGCATCGGACCTGGATATCTTTGAGACCGCCTCCTGCCGCAGATTACCCCCCATCGACCTGTACGCTCCCACAGAGTGGGTCTCCTCAGGGTACCGTCGGCCAGACAGTGCCGGCTGGCGACCCCAAGGGGGAGGGCCTTCTCTGTGGGAGCTCCCACCCTCTGGAATGAACTACCCCCAGAGATCAGGGTGATCCCTGATCTCCCTTCCTTCCGCCGCGCNGCAAGGAGAAGGGCGGGATATAAATATAAATAATAAATAAATAAATAAATAAGAAAAACAAGAAAGTCCAGTTAGCCTCGTGAAAAAAATACCTTTTGGACACCATGACTTGGATGACTGAGAATCTTCATAGACATTTACCCAGAAGAGTTTTGGACTTAAATGGAAAAAAACCTGGACTTGAATGGTTGTTTATAATTTATGAGTAAATTACAATTCAGGCCTCCTGTGTGGGTCAACTATTACAACTTAGGTCAGTAGATGTCGCTTGACTAATCTGTTGCTTGAAACATGTATGTTATTGCAAGTATCCTGTTTTTTAGAGTTTTGCATTTCTTCAATGACTGATATTCTGTCTCTTTTATGTTTTAAGGGCGTATGTTTTGATATTCCAAAAACTGAATTAAATAAAATAAAGGTAAGATTTTGGTTTCCAACGTGAATCAGTCTTGAGTAGCTCACGCCATTGGATGCCCTTCAGCTGTCATTCATACTCAGATGATCTTAAATATATTTACTTGTATACTTGTTTCACAGTCCACTATTGCAGGAGACTTCATGAAATGCCAGAGTGAACTCAAAAGTATATACAGGTAGCCCTTACTTAACAATACTAATTAGGCCCAGATTTTTCACTGCTAAGCGATACAGTCGTTAGGTGAAACATCATGTGACCACACCACTTTGCGATGGCAGTTTTAGTGGTCCTGGTTGCATTCATTAAGCCAGGATCTCATGCTTCTCCTGGCCTGCTAGCTGAATAGAAAACTAACATTCCAATTAGTTGATCTACACCAGGGGTCTTCAGATTTGGCCCTTTTATGACTTGTGGACTTCAACTCCCAGAATTCCTCAGCCAGCGTGCAGGCAATGCAGCGTGCAGGCGCAGGCAATGCAGTGGGGAGCAAGGAGCAAATTATGAAAACTTCATGATGACATCATAATGCACATTTTGTCACTCTGATAAACTCCCTAGCCTAAGACTATTGTGGAGAATCTCATGATATTAAACTTAGGCTGAGAATGTGCTGCTGGTGGTTGTACATTCTTTTTTAAGGAATGGATTGTTTCTTATTCAAAGGTTAAATTAGTTGTCTTTTCTATTATTGTTTTATAAGGGTGCGTCGCTCCCATGTGACACCGCTACTGCGCGAGCTGCACTGGTTGCCAGTGGCCTTCCGGGTGCGCTTTAAGGTGTTAGTTACCACCTTTAAAGCGCTTCATGGCATAGGACCCGGTTATCTCCGAGACCGCCTTCTGCCGCAGATCCCCTCCCTCAGACCGGTACGCTCCCACAGAGTGGGCCTCCTCAGGGTGCCGT